GGTCTGAGCTCCTCCACAGAGAGTGGACTGCAGCGTAAATTCAAAGCAGTGTTCACAGCAGAGGAAATGAAAGAGACTTAAAGATTTATTTTACTTGAGTCAACGACAGTGCTTACTACTAAACAACTAAATGGAGACGATATGATCAGTTTATCACCAACAACAAGCATTAACTTTGGCCACTGTGCCCGTAGTAACATGCTGCCCCCTCTTAATCCACACAGCCTGTTAGCTTGTTATGCTAAGGTGCCAAAAGTGAACTCATGTTGTTGACAAAAAAGGTAATACAACATCAAATATATGGAAGTGGTTTGGATATCTTGAAAGTGACAGTGTAGATTAAGACGTTCTGCAAAGTATGCCATTGGTCCGCGTCAACCAAGGTGGGAAAAACAACAAATCTTTTGCTACACTGGCCACCACACCATTATTTTAATAAATTACGAGGCAAGCTAAAATGTATTGTTTTGTTAAAGGTTCAGTTTGTAGGATTAAGTGACATGTGGCGGTGTAGTTGCAGTTCCCTGGAGTTTGAAGGATGTGGGTGTTTACCAGGCTTAATGACATAGACTGTATAATTAAAAAGTGAACATTGTCTGTGTGGCTTCACCCACAAGTTTCTGAAGAGCCGTTGAGAAATTCAATATGGCCGTTGCCATTTTGGGGGCGGCTGTGGTGCAGAGGCAGAGCAGGTCGTCCCCCAATCGTAAGGTTGTTGGTTCGACTCCTGGCTCCTGGTGCTGATGTTGAAGTATCCTTGAACAAGATACTGAACCCCAAATTGCATGTGCATCGGTGTGTGAATGTGTATGAATGAGTTAGTTTCTGTTGGATGGGCTTTACCATCACTGAGTGAATGTGTGTGAAAGGGGGAATGTGCCATGTAGTGTAAAAGCGCTTTGAGTGGTTGGAAGACTAGAAAGGCGCTATACAAGTACAGGTCCATTTACCACTTTGGAAGTGTGTGTGTGTGTGTTTCTATCTTTCTTGGCTCTAATTGGTTGTTTTCATTCAGGGCTAGTGGATTTTTGCAAATGCCATTAGGAGCACTAGAACGAGCCAAAGGAACATGATAAATTAGTAGATTATCCGTCTCTTGTACTACTGTCAGGATATAGTCAAAGTTACAGCAAATTTGACAAAATTAAAGTTTTTTAAATAAAAATGAACTACTGCCGCTTTAATAAGAATTATGGAAGCAATTATCAAATTATATGGCAACATAATATGACATAACCTGTGGTTCTCACCCCGATCTTGATAAATATATTGATTAATCTGGAAACAAATTGCATGTCGCCCAATCCTAGTTTCATCACACAGTTTACAGACTGATGTCCTCCATCCTGAAGAGTAAAGTCCTACCTTTCCAGACTGCCTGGGGAGTGTGGAGCAAATATACAGAGCCTCTGCCTGTTTAGAAAGCCTGCAGTCTCAGCAGCAGAGGAGTGACTGGCATTGATCACTGGCAGAGTATAGTTATTTTATGGGAAGAGACTGTAAAATGTTACTGATTGCTCCTTAAAATGGGCAGAAAAAAAGAAGCTTGGTTTCTATTTCATCCACACAGAGACTACTGTATGTCAATGCTAAGTATTCGCTGAGGAGGCCTCATCCTCGTCTGCACGTGTCAACACCAGAGAGCTGGCTGCTCCTGAAGAATCCCGTTGTCATGCCTCAGCGGTCCCTTTACCGCCTTTATGTATCTGTTTGCTACCCTGAGGCGACAGGAATTGTCTGGGCTTAAACACAGAGGAAGAGAGGAGTCCTCGTCGTCTCAGATCTCCCCCCTCTCCCCCCATCTCTGTCTCTCTGCATGCGGTTACTGCCACTGTTTGTCTAAATCATCAGAGGCGAGCTTGTCCTCTGTGAAGTATTAAGCACCACACTTCTTGCCCTCATCTTGTGGTACTGCTGTAAGTCTACAGGTCTGACAGTCTCTTCATTCTGCAAGAGAGCACATGGCCACACACTCCATCCATCCATACACTCTCAATCCACTGCTGGATTTACACTGGGCTCTACCTTGTTTCTGTACTGCACAGATCTGATACAGTACACAGAACTGCATAGACTGTTGACTGTAAAATGCATTGATCCATACTTTTTTGTGCGAGCAAATGTATAGTCTTTTATGCCTCAAATGCAAGTCTAAATAATCCTGATGACGTCAATGTGTGGGTGTTTACCAGGCTTAATGACACAGACTGTATAACTAAAAGTGAACATCGTCTTTGTGGCTCAGTAACAAGTTTCTGAAGAGATGTTAGGAAGTTCATTGTGGTCATCTCCATCTTGGAAGTCCAGACTCCGGATGGGCAAATACCTGGGATGTGGGTGGAGCTGAGACGGGCTAAATGAAGTCTGGTCTGCTTTACTTATATTATGCCGAATCTCAATTGCAGTGGCTACTTGTCTGAATCTGAGTCTCCTTAGCTAGTCAAGCTATGGATTCTGAATTGTATTTAAAAAAAAAAGTCTAGGAGGAAAAAGGAGAAGTTAGTGAACAGATTTGTCTGCTTTCACCACCAATGCTACTGACTTACAGATGTGCTTGATCTGCAGTGAGAAATTAGCATTATAAGGCTCATGTGGCTCTTTTGATAGTAAAGTTTGCTGAGAAAAAAGCTAGGGTAGGTACTATTGGAGTAGTAAGTAAAGTAAGGTTCTGCTCTGTGTTTGCAAAGTCAATGTAGGATCAAACTGATTTTGAAGCTGTTATTTTAAGGTAAATCAGGTCCAGTTCTAATTTAGTAATAATAGTAAAAAGTAGCACAGATTTCAACCGGTGGCTAATGTGCATTACATATAAGTATTAAGTAAGTACTGAAGTAGCTATTTATCTTTATTATTTTTTAACCTTTGATTGTTTGAATTTGGATCAGAGAGGTGACTCGGTGATGTGAAAAGACACAACAATCCTCTACCATGTAATTTTCTTTTTAAATTAGAAGGCTTTCTGTCGGATTAAAAACCAAACGCAATGCATGCTGGAAGTATGGTAATAAGCTATTGATATTTCTAAACAACAGAATTGCAGCATTAAAGTGTACAATCAGTTGAATATTTAGTCAACAAAACATTTTAAAGCCTTCAACTCATAAGTAATGAAATGGTTCTATATGATAATTAATTTTAACCTGACCTACAACTGACAAATATATTACACTGAAATGTAAAAAATATCAGTTGTTTTGATGAAATTGAAATTTTACATTGTACAGTTAGATTATTGCAATATTTGATTACATTTAATCTAGAATACAATTTTAACAGATTCTACCTCAACTAAACCCTCCACTATGTACTTCGGATGATAAAACCATGCAGCATGCATGCTAATACAGGGGGGAGAAAGGTCATATGTGTCATGTTTAGAGTTTCACTGCCACAGGTTGCAGGTGGATTTGTTATCCTGCTGAACATTCGATTTGGCTTCACCCATGCACCAGTGACGTCCCCTCATCAGTCTCATGAAAGTCACCCAGTCATTCTGGGCCAGGCTGCTGACAGAAGCTGATATACACTTCAGAGGCGTGGAGGATACCCCCGACCGCTGAGGGTTATGATGTGGGGAGAGGGAATAAATAATGACGATATCAAAGGGAGGCCTGCCTTCTGTGCAACTCTCAGGATCTGTCTCCACTCTTCAGTCCTGCTGTAGGCCTGTTTTCACTGACATCATGATGATGTTGAGAAGCATGTTGATTTTAAATTAACTTGACCTTGATATCACGAAGGATCTTATTATAACGTTCAAAGCTTTAGCATCCGTTTCCAGCCATTTATCATTATCTAAATTTAAAAGTAGACTGTTGAATGGAAAGGCTATCATCTGTGCATTATGAATATGCTTGTCATTGAGATCAAATAAAACGTGTATGTGAATAGCATACATAGGCCTTTATTTATAGATTTACATTTAGAAAAGCAGAAGTCATTAAAGGGGTCTGGAAAGATGAATAAGATCTGGAGAAAATGTTACAAAACAATGTCCTGTGTCCAAGTACACCAATGGGTATCTTAATGAGATAACAATGTAGATTTGGTGTGTTTTAAAAGAAAATCCAAGTTGTATAATTGTGGTTGATACACTCCTTTGTAACAACCTATATTTACTCTTTTCTGTAAAGTGCCCTCTTGTGGTCGTGCAAGTAATGGCTGTTTTCAAGACAGTTTGAGTAGCACAAATCACATTTAATCTAATGTTTTCAGATTCCGATTCAGGCTTGCAGTATGAATGTACTGTCTTTAGATAGCAGGCAGGAGTATTTAGTAGAAGGATACCCACATGGATTTAAGCATTAATCAAGCTTTGCTACAGTAGGTAGTTAATAAATAATTATATTAACAGAAAGCAAGCTCACATTGCCTGAACTGTCTTGGGTTACCGATAATTAGATCAAAGATCATAAATTGTTAGAAATCGGAAAATCAATACAGTTGTATGCCTCTTTGTCTGCTGTTTTCTATTATTATTGTTATTATTATTATTATTTTATTATTGTTATTATTGTTATTATTAAGGAAGTAAAACAAATGTCAAGAAAACAAAGGTTCAAATCAAATTGATTGGGTGCCCACAGCACCACCCCACCCCGGGTAAATCCGGCCCTGACATGATGGCTTCTGTTCACAATTTTTAGTTCCTGTATCATGCCATGCTATATAGCCCACACTGGCATATAAACCAAAACTATGCAACTATTTCAACAGTTGGAAAACAAACGAATTTTAGTGGAGTAAAGTATTTCCCCTGTCTCGGTTTTATTGCTCCAGGATCCTGGTCTGAAGAGCAGCCGGTGCCATGTTCCATGCTCCATGCCAGAGCTGCCACAACACAGCGGCTGGTTAAGGGTGATGGAGAGAATGCGGCAATCCATTGGCTGCAGGCTTAGTAAATTTCAGTCGGTATAGTCCAATGGCAAGCTAGAGAGAGAGAGAGGAGAGGGAGAGGGGAGGAGAGAGAGGGAGAGAGAGAGAGAGAGAGAGAGAGAAAGACCTGGTTTCTCTATCACTAATCTTGTCCTCGCAATACACTCGCTCTATGAGAGCAATTAGATTCAGCACCGTTTCCAGTGCCTCTGCAATGACTCATTGAAACATCTTCTGTGCTGATAAAGCCGCATCTCTATTCTCCACCACACACACACACACACACACACACATACACACACACACAAACACACACTCACTCACACACGCACATAGGACGTATAGTTGGGCTGCCTTCAGTACATCGGGACTGCGCTTCTTACTTTGGATTTGCAGAGCAGGAGGCTGGACGTGGACTTTATTGTGTTTTTCCTATGTGGTGTGTGTTTCGCCTGAAGTCGGGACTTACATAAAAGAGTCGGACAGTGGAGATACATGCTGAGGTGAGTGTGCTACCGGCTCAATGTGATGCTGAGCCTTTACAGTTTTTTTTCCTCCAGTAGGGAAACAGACTAAATTTATAGACAAGGGGCTGAATATTTGTGCGTTTTCGGGCGCTGACCCCCCCCCCCTCCTCCTCCACCACCTCCTCTTCTGATGGCTTGTCCGGACGCGTTTATAGGAGCCTAATCCACAGGGAATTCATCCAGAGACATTTACTGTTCATCTCAACTGGATTATAGTCATTTTTACAACCGGAACTTCCTAGAAAAATATTAGGAAACAGGCGCAATATGGAGGTTTTTATCTAAAACCCCGCAGCAGTAGAGCCTCATTCTTGCGCACTTTCATCCGACTCCAGTTGAGGTTTTGTTCACGTGTAAATGTTGATGACAGAATGAATGATAACCACCACAGCCAGCAGCGAATATACTGATCACACATAGCGCTGTTTATTATTTAACCAAACTCGGTGCCAAAGCAACAAGCTCTGTTAACTTTAATGCGACAGGACGCACAAGAGAGGCGGCTGCGATCCGACAGCGCAAAGCTCGCTCCCTCAACACGGCAAAGCGTTTAAACCCATTTCACACCTGCGTTTTTTCTCCACAACTCTTTTGTGTCGAGGTGCAGCAGAAATCTTCAGCAGCCCGACGCGCGCATCTCTATCCGAGCAGCCACAAGATGGTGGTGTGGATATCTGGATGTGGATTTTGAGGGAAAAGAGAGAAAGAAGGAGGGGTGGCGGGGTTGAGTGGGGTTTGTGCCTTGCATGATTTTTTTTTTTTTTTACTGCTACACCGCTGCTAATGCTGTGATTTTCAGCTTGTATTCACACTGGGTGGCATTCAGACTGCCCAAGAGGTGCATGCACTGCAGTCTCCCATCGGCAACTGGTTTTTATTAACGTGGGATGACCTTGTGTGTGTTGTCATCCACATACCTGCTGCTCAAAGATGAAATGAACACGTTCAGAGGGATTTTTAGGGTCCTTGAACAGAAAAGGGCCCCCAAGAGGACACAGAAACATAAAGCATTTTACTACAAAATGTCTTTATAGTAATGCTGATGTGTGTGTGTGTGTGTGTGTGTGGGGGTGGGTGAGTGAGTTCGCTTAGAAAAGGTGCAGCTGCTGTTGTACAATGGATAATAGCCTAACTGATAATACATTCATCTCCAAGGGAATATATTCCTAAAAAGTTGAATATCTTCCTCAAGTGCTGTAAAGCTTTGATTGATTCTGGTGTAAAGGCTGCCTTCCTTCGCCATCTTTAGCAGAGAGAGGGGGAAAAAATGGCCGGGCAGGTGTGTAAGATTCACTCTCGAGTGATTGTTTGAGGTTTGAAGATTATGATAGTTCTTGTTGTTTCACAGTGATTGAGAGAGAAGGACATGTCCAACTTTTAGGAATCTGCATGTTATTGGGGCAAAAAAATATTCATGTACTACAGTTCTGTGTCCAATCAAAGAGTCATCCTCTTTCACACATTTTCCCCTCAGCCTGTGTTCGCCCTGCAAGATTTCAACAAACTGCACACACAGCCATGTCATTCAGAATGAAAGTCAACACACAACCATTGCCCCATAATCCGCTCCTCCTGCATGTTCCAAATAATATACAGGATTCCTGGAAACATGTCGGGGACAAATGCAGGAAATTGCTTTTATTTTTTTGTCTGAGAATAATCTTCACTGAGTGCACTGGTGCAAGTATCCAACTCAGTTTTGCCTTAAATCTTATATTTTTCTCTCATTTTTAATACAGTTTTAATTCAATGGATGTTAACACTAAGCCTAGTCCTCCTTGTTTCCTTTTTAGAATTCATAACCGAAAATTATTTAGCATAAAAATGACAAACCAGAACTAAATCTGTCCATAATGTTGCAGTTTCAATTCCTCACAATTCCTCGCATCTGATGATGTCGTCATTTCCACTGCAGGCCTTCCATTGTATGGTACATCAACATATTCAGTGCAGACAGCTGTTTGCTGATCTATCCAAACCACATGCACACAAACACATGTCTAACAGGTAGAGACCGCAGGAGTTGTGTAACATGTTGTGTTTGCCATGTTGGACTATCTGCTATTGATACATTTTATTGTAGAGCTACTGGAGGTCTGAAGGAGGGATAATTGCACAGTTTGACATCCTGTTGTGTGTCATTCCCACATACTTATTACTCTATCATTCCTCTGTTGTGTGTTTGCTGCAGTATCCTACAAAGAATAAGAAAATGGCAGATGTGGTAGCTATGTGTTTAGTCTTTAACCATATTTGGAAGAGTGATGGTGTTTAGCAGTTACTAAATGACCTGTATGTGAATGGCATTGGTAGATGAGCCGTGAGCTTTCACTCTAAGCCCACATTTGTTGGATTTACATACTATGTGAGTGTCAGTGTTGTGCACATAGTCTTAAGGGGCAGCTGCAAATATAAAAAAGTGGCATCTCTTATGGGAGGGCAAAGGAAGTTAAAGGTCCAGTGTGTAAGATATTATTGGCATAAATAATATTAATAGGAATGTCTTCATTAGTGTATAATCACCAATCATCAAAAACAATATTAAGATGAGCATTTTTTTCATCTACAGACACTGTGGTTTTCATTCCATGGAAGCTGCCATGTTGAACCGCCATGTTTCTACAGTAGCCCCGAAGGGAAAAATCAAACAATCGATGCTTTAAAGTCGCCCTCCACTCAAAAATATTTTTTCTTCTTGTTCTTACAGTTGAATGTTTGACCTTTACTATGCAGAATGATGTATCTGCAGAGTCTGACACTAGAAGGATGTTTTCACTTTCATCTGCTGAAAGTGGAAAGTTTCTCTGTGCTCATTGAAAATCAGATTTTAAGGGGCGTGGCCTACAAGCATGATTTGTGACATCACAAATAGTTTAGTCAACCCTGGTCCAGTATGCAAGTGTGCACATACAATGAGAATTGACTTTACAATGAAGTAGACATTTTGGGTCAGCAGGAAAACTTTAGAAATGAAGAAAATTTGTATATTCAAAGGCTCTGGAATTTTTAATGAGGTAGAAGAAGTAGATTACTTTTTTATTATGGAAATTATACGTTTTTGTGGAAAAAATGAATCAGACACACAATTGTTTCAAGCAGACTATTTCCATATATGTCTTCATATATATCTGGAGAGGATCTTATTTTTCCTCCATGTTGTGGTCAGTTTCCTGTTTTGGCCCGCGGTCAAACCAGACGAACTAAAGGCTGGCCTGTCGAGTGAACCTCTGGTGTGACATTAAGCAAACATGAAGCATGGATGGGTCCCATTAACAGTCTTTTCACAAATACAGATACAAAGACGGTGTCCGGATATTTAAACACGTTGCCACTATACATTACGAGGTAGCTAATTTCTTAGGGGTGTGTTTCCATGCAAAAGTTTTGTCTTCTTCAAGTCATAGGAGCTTGGTAAAGTTCTATTTTTGAGAAGTGGAGAACCTTTAAATGCTTTGAATGTTTAGACTTCTTTTACATAGTTGAGTGCAGTAGAAAACAGCTCTGTGCTTCCATTCCAAGAGGGAATCAAGAAGATGGCAATTGGTTGTCTCCAGGCTATTGCAGCTGCACATCAGAGGACATCAGCAAAAACTTTTAACCTTTCTCAGCTTCCCCACATTGTGCCACTGGGTGACAAGAAGTTCAGTTCCCAGTGAATTCCATTCTGTCAAACACTCATTATGTGGAAATGTATTAGCCTATTTCCAGATTTCTAATAGCTAATGGAGAAGGTGTAAAGTTGAAGGCATGCAGTTGTAGGGACTTTTTATTTGTGGGAGACATCCTCAGCCTGGTAAAGGACACCTAAAAAGGGAGAGGCATTGCACCATTTGCAAGGTGGCTCAGTGGTTAGCACCTTCAAATCCTGAACTGGCCGGCCAGAGATCCTTTGTATGAGGACTGCATGTTCTTTCTCTGTTTGTCTCTGGGCTTACCTTCCATAATCCAGAGACATACTGTATGTGTGTGGCTCTAAATTGCCTGTAGGGTGTAAACTTTACTGTCTCTCACTCAGTGTGAACTGGGATAGGCTCCAGACTATAGTAACCATGTAAAGGATAAGCAGTCATGCTGTTTATGGACAAAAATCTAATTCAAATTACGATTCAACATATTTCCATCGGGATACTGTAAGTAAGGCAATATATTGCAAGCCCTCAGTTTATGTTTAGAACACTGCTAGCAAGAAGTTGGTAAATTAAACACAAAAATGTATAGTGTTTTTGAGAAATTATACAAAATCACGAAACAAACTATTATGATCAAATATTTTTCAATATTTTCTTATACCATACCAAGCATGTACAGATAATGGGTAAATAGAGGGATATTTCTAAAGGCCAGGGTGTGCTTGAAAAGAACTGGTTCATAAAAACTTAAATTTGACAACGTTTGAAGGTACAAGTATTTCCTCCTGTTCTGAATGGCCATACTGAAAGTCCGGGTGAATAGATTGCCGTCATAAAGAGAGGCACAGTGCGATTAATTTTCAAACCGTCTGTCCTGGAAGACATTCATGGTGAGAGGGAAATTCAAACACATAGTGTGCGTGATTGCTGGTTTGGCTGTTCGAAATTCCAATTCTCATCAACCTGCCAAGGGCTTTGTTTGAAGCATATTGATGCCATCACCACGTTTGGGTTTGTCACAGGAAATTGTAAGAACATTCTGCAAGCTTCAAGCTCAGGCAATAATCTTATTAGATTTTTTTAATTAAATCACTGAGCTAGTGCGTTTCCTCCCTTATAGCATTGATTACATTTGTGCAAGAAGAGTTCTTTTGCCTTCTGTTGCTTTCCAGACATGCATCATAAACATCCTAGCAGTAGGTCTGACTTTAATGCAGGAGTTAATTCAAACTAATTAGCCCACATAATCTCAGTATACAGCAGGGGTCTCAAACCTTTCTCAGAGTTTTTGCTACCTAAAGGGAGAAAATTGTCAGGAGGGCTACTCTGTATACTCAAAGAACACCC